ACAGCATGAAAACGATTGTGTCACATCCCATTGTGTCTATAAATTTACATGTATGTGTGGAAACACGTACGTAGGGAGGAGCAATCGTGATTTGCAATTAAGGGTGGGTGAACATATACCAAAATGGTTGCAAAATCAGATGAATTCCAATGGTGAAATAAGACCACAGGATAGACAGACATCATCCATTGCGAAACATTTGATTGAGACGGGTCATAAGGTTGATATCAAATCAGCATTTGTTGTGTTGTACAAAAGCCTTCAAGGACGTATACTAAGGTTTATTGAAGCCTTGGCTATATGAAAATTGAAACCCCCTTTATGTGTTCAAAAACAATTTGTACTTACACTTAACCTACCCTGGTAGTACTGATTTACTATCCAGAGTGTTAATCACATTTGTTTTTGTGTACTTTAATATTTTTTCCTTTGTTATGACTTACCCTTAACCTGTCTAGTTGACCTTTTGATTTTTCATATATAAATGTTCTTAACAAGTATATGTGTGATCAGATTGTTCGAAATGTATTGCGCAAATATATCACATAATTCTGATAAACTACGTCTTCTCATTGCATTATCGAAATTTATCAAAGGGACTAATTGTTTTAAACATATTGTTGTGCCAGTCTCTATGTTTATGATATGTGTTTAGATGAGTCATATACTCAGTTTTAAGCAGAAATTTCGGTTTGTAGTTCTGTTAGATTACCGGAATGTTATTGAAATCAATGCAGGTAAAGTGGGATTCGAACATGCAACCTAGTACTTGAAAGTCAGGTACACGAATCACATTATTATGGTTTTTTGTACTAACGCTCAATCCTATAAAGCACAAAGATTTAATTGGTTGTATAATAGTAATATTACTAATTTTCATATGATGGGTATGGTCTAGTGTACAAGTCTACTTTTGTTTTTTTATTAGATTCCCAAATATTAGAATCAACTATCAAAACTTTTAAACTTATAGAACTTTTTGATTCAAGCTATTTAGTTAGAAAGTTCCAGTTTGTGCATGTGTGCACCTTGTGTTGTTCATGTGTCATAGAAACTGATTATTTATACCCCCTTTTATGTTCCTTTTTTATTTTCCACGATAGGAAACCTATGAAAAGCGTCGTGAGCTTCAAAGAAAAGAATTACAACAAAAGGAAGAAGAAATGAGACAAATGTTTGTTCAACGTGTTAAAGAAAAGGAACAAGTTTTAAAAGAGGCAGAACGTGAGGCAAGTTACTTAACATTCTAAAGAAAATGTATATCTACCTGTTGGGACGAATCCATAAAGCGACTTGACAGTGACGAATGATTTTAGTTTACCTAACTCATAATTACAGGTTTTAATATCTGGGATATAATAAGTCTAATGTTGAATAGTATTTGGCTTTGTTAGTAACTTCATGAGATGAACTTGTGGTGCCACACAAGTCCTTGGAATAATTTGTCAGTCACCGTATGCCCACTCTTCACGTGTAAATAGCTTATCAGTAACCAAACTATTATTCGGTTTCCCAATGAAAACTGCTCGTTCATATGTGGTTTTCTATCACATGTTTTATCATCAACCAGTGATACACCTTATCCGATGGGCACTAACATTTCTAGATTACAAACAGTCCGAGGACGAAGTTCTTCATTTTCAGAATTCTTACAAACCATGAATTATAATTGAAATTATGGCTCTCATATCTCTTGTCATCTTTCAGTAAGTTAAGTTTCGAATTTTGCATGAATAATGTGCGGATAACCGAGAAAGTCCAACGTTCTAAATCCATTTTCGTCTTTTCTTGTAAACGGAAGAGAAGAGTTAAGTGATACAGGGATATCTGTGATGGATTTTAATTATATCGTTTACCAATGTGAAAGTCAAGAATAGTGTTTTGTGAGCTATTTATCAAATGTGTAGTTTGGAGCGAGGTTTCAGTAGACCTGGGACAGTGTTTTGCGCATAAGAATCGTTGGGCATGGTGACACTTGAGGGGGAAGTCGATGTAGGAGGAATAATAGGAATTGAGGAGGGAGGTGGATCATGAATACAGTGGTCTTGAGTGCTGTTAGAGGTATGAGGGCGGTTATCACTTCCAGGTTGCCCACACCGTGGAAGGGTTCTTCTGGAGTTATCTTAAAAGGAAATTGGATTAGAAGTGCTCTTAGTGACCTGAAAGCGTAACCGCAGTGCCCAAGGGACAACTGCTTGACGTCGGTCACACGCGACCTTTTTGAGTAATTTTTGTGTTAGCTCCGCACTTGTTAAGACCTTACCGCCGGAAACGGATATCCGTGGGATAAGGTGTGCATTTCTAGGGTCGACCTTTTCTAACCCCACCCCTCCTTGTGGGAAGGCAGCATCGCTGTCATGCTGGTTGTCTGGAGGAAACGCCTTACTGCTGTCACACCTCTGTACAGTCAGCAGTACGACTTCGCCCTCGGACCTTGGGTTTGTTGCTTTTAGTCTTACCGCTCCTCAACCGACCTGTCTGACACGGTTGTTCTAACCAGTATAGCTCGGTCGCTTTATCACGACAAGCAAGCCCGACCACTACGTCAAGGTAGCAACAACGGTCGAGTCCTCCGATCATTAGTGGAGCGGGATGACTAAAAGGTAATTTGGCAGGAGTTATTGACGCACAGCCTTATAAGACCAGTTTGTAAGGACTCTTTCATCCTTAGTTATATCAAGTTCACCTGCGTACTTATTGGATACCATAAAGTTTGGGTACCGCAGCAATGTTTTTTACACATGAGCACCTTAATAATATTTCCCAAAACGTCAAGCTCTCTGATGCACCTCCTTATTTATTGATCCAGCTTCCGCTTCTAGGGATGTGGATTGTTTCAAACATTCCATATGTTGCATAAAACTGATTCGCTTTCTACTTTGTTCATTTTTAGCTACAAACCAAATTTGAAAGTCTAAAGAAAACGCATGCTGAGGAAAAGAAGAAACTTGAAGAAAAGAAACGCTTTTTGGAAGAGGAAATAGCTGCCTTCGAACGTCGAAAGCAGCTTGCGGAACAAGCAAGACAAGGAAATCTAACTATGAAAAAAAGGAAATGAACTATTTGGCAGGAATACAGCTAGTCTTCATATTACTTAATAATTCACTTTAGCACTATGATTTCCATTTATTGCTTTTGCTAATCTCACTTCTCTTTTATAAATGTCTAATTTTTTCCTATGAACTTCAGCCCTATGTAAAACAAACCACGTACACTGCATTTGGAAATTACCGGGTGTTCAAATGTTTCTTTTTATTTCATTATAGGCAATAATATGATGCTTGTTTTATGCTAAGAAGTTTGTACTTTGATAAACTAGCCAATCGGTGGCAAAACGTGGTTACCACTCACTGAATAATAATAAGAGGGGAACCCAAAACACAGGTTGAATTTAAAAGGTATTATGACAGGAGACCAACCTTAGAAAATGATAAGGTTGGGTGGTTTTTATTGAGTAATTAGAAGTGTGAAAACAGTGCTTATGTTCTAGACTACATTTAATTTGTAACCAAATATTCTTGAAGAGGCAGCTTAGCTAATAAGAACAGTACCGAACCACCAGTGGATAAGGTATCGAGACATTACAGTGCTTAATATCGGGTCTTATGAGAAAAGTGGCACATTTCTCTGTGGGTTATTATTTTAGTGTAGCGATTTGTTTGTGTAAACTACCAAATACTCTAGCTGTAATTGAGTTACTTTTCAGTCTAGGACTAATATAGTTTATTTTGTAACCACACATCTACAAGTGTATGACGTCTTATATGTATCATTTTAAGCTACTACTCTAAATTACTTTCAGCTAGGGGATCTAAAATGATAACGAATGGGTGACAACAATTGCACTAACAACGGCAGAGTCCATAAAGCACCAGATAGATTAGAGAATACAGTAGCACAAATTGTGAAACTGGTATCAGCGAACCTTGAACTAATTTGGAGTCACCGCATGAGGTTGCCAATATCACACATTACTATTATTTTAAGTGCCTCCTAAGGTCCACTACCTTAGATGTAGCTCGAGGGAAACTGGGGATTTGTTGTAAGTACGGGTCAGTCAGCTACAACGTAGGACCAGGCACATATGTGCATCGGTCCAGGTTGCCATACCGCATCAGCACAAGATGAACACCGGATTCATAGCAGTGGTTAGGTCAAAGGTAGTAATATGTAAGAGAAGGATTGCATATAGAGATATAGTACAAGAAGAAAGAATTGGTTCGTAGAAAGAAAGATATGAAGCGATTTTAATCTCTTAGTTTAAGGGAAGACAAGGAGTGTATAGTAAGTACGGGTAAATGACCAGTTGCTCGATATTGTGTATCTAAACAAGGACCGATATTGCTCGGTGCAAGGATGAAAATGAGGGTGGAAACATGTGCATACACCAATTATATCCACTGTTGGTTTAATAACTACGCTGAACCATATGCTATTAGCATAGCTGATCAGAGGTCAGATCTTAATACAGCGAAACGGTTGTTGTTGAAACTAATTAATCAATAACTTCCCTAATGTATGCAATCTAAAATACCGATAGATTAATTGCATCAACTAACAAATATGAGTTGTCGGGTTACATATTTGCTTCATCTAGTTACGGTTAACCTCTTGCCAGTTTATGTCTGGTAGTATTGTATGCGACAGTCAGGCATCGATCCGTAACAGTTTGCAACTTTATCTAGTTAACTTTTTTGGCCAACGACACTAGTATCGTCTTAATTGCAGTGAAAATCTAACCAAAAGCAATACAATTGAATAATGAAGAGTAGGGGACAGAAGTAGAATAAGTGCCATTGGGGCAGGATTCGGGCTGTCTACAAGCTATCGGTTGTGAGTACTGCACAAGACAACCAGAAAATACACCCACTGAACATTTTACAATTCACAAGGATTAGTAGGCTCAGAAATGAGATAGGTGACAACGAGGTTACCAATCTAGCGGAATAATACAGACTCAAGCATAACTATCATCAAATATCCAGAATAAATTTTCAGACTTAAGTCAAAACGACATCTGTGGAGCAGCAGATACTATAAGAGATGATATACACTACAATTTCTGTGAAAGCCATATAGATCTCACTCTTCTACAGGTCAACACATAGATCTCAGACTGTACAGTTTCAGACAAGCAAAACTTTATGCAAAAAAACGTTACAGAACTTTAGGTGTCGATAAGGTAATTTATACAGTATTCGTTGTGTTCGCACGGATTATCTTGATAAGCTCACGAGGTCTTTCTGCTTGATCAACATCGACCATACCTACAAAGAGTAAGAATGAAAATAAAAACTTCTACCGAGGCGCTGAACAACTTTCATACCGGAAGCAACACGTCCAAAAATAGTATGTTTACCATCTAACCACTGTGTAGGAGCCAAAGTTATAAAAAACTGACTGCCATTTGTATTTGGACCGGCGTTTGCCATTGAAACAACTCCAGCACCTGGATCATGATTATTTAACTTTTCAAATGACTTACCTGTGTGTTTTAGGTCAGGGTGAATTTCATCCGCGAAGTAAGAGCCATATATTGATGCTCCACCTCGACCAGTACCTGTTGGGTCGCCACCTTGTATCATGAAATCTCGAATAACACGATGAAAAGCAACATTATTGTAGTACCCACGCCTTGCTAACTCAGCAAAATTAAGACATGTCTTTGGGGCATGCTTCCAATAAAGTTCAATAGTTATAGTGCCTTGACTTAAGTGTGTTATTGCATATTAAATTAATGGACAAACTTGGTGTCAAGAACAACGAAAGCTGGCTGGTCTTGAGCTGACATTCGCAGCTGCAACACCAAATCTGGTCACTGTCTCCCAATATCTAACCTGATGGACGGACCAAGAGTAAGACCCAAGTCAAATCCACCCTCGCGACCTTGAGTGGCCCTGTTCAAGGCGAGCACACCGTATTTGAAGTACCAGGTATCGAGTATGAGGTTGAAAGATATTTCGGGTTGTTTTTGGATTCTGGAAGCCACAAGCTTTCTCTAGAAAGCTGTCAATACTCCAGTTTTATTAAAGATTTTATCAGGCTCTGAAAACAAAATATCATCAAATATTATGACATATAATACTAGAGAGTGCTTATTCATATGAGTAACATTTTCACTAAGTTGAAGGAAAATTTTTAAATGCTCTTCGTCAAACCCGCAGTTCTAAGAGTTCCCAAACAACCAATAAAGGGGAAATAAAGGGGGAAACACGCCAAAATGTCCCTTTTTTGCCTGTCCGGGAGAAATAATGCGGATTTCCTTCTTTTCGTCGCTTTTTCGCTAAATTTTCTACTTTTCGCCTAAATATCCGCCGAATTACACCTAAATAACCGACGTAAAGGCGAAATGTCGCCTTTTCGCCTTTATTTACGCTTTCATCCCTTTTTCGCCTTTATTCCCCCTTTATTGGTTACTTGGGTTCATCCTTCCACATAACTAGACAGTTTAGACAAATTATGCAGAAAATAACTTGGCAAACATTGAACTTTACAACGAATTTATTATCAAGCTGTACAATCATATATATATATATATGGAGATTGTTCGTTAAAGTTAAACATTAACTATCACTTAAAAATCTCACCAGAAGTTACTATCATTGTATCTTGCGGTATGAAATTCTATAACTCACGGGTTTCAAACGCCCAAGAGTTCCCACGAATTTTTCGTATACTAAATTCATATTATATCATAAAGTAGCATTCCCCTAGGTGAAGTTTAGTAATGGGTTGTACAAAAGATCTGTTCAGATGAAAGTAGCCATGATGGATGTAATGCTTTATGACTATATCCCCCGGCAGTAATATATATATATATATATATATATATATATATATATATTCGGTCTTTTGCCTGCTCATTTTTAGGCTGGTTTGAGTGAACGGTTTCTGTCTTGAGGTAAGGAAGTGTGCTACTGAATAGACGTAAGGATGCCACAAGTATCCGGAGTTTGACAACACCTTAATCAGTAACACCTTTTATAATCTACACCGTGCCAATACAGTGAAATCAGAAGTCAGAAGCGAAGAGATTCGAAGATATTTTTAATACAATATTGATATATTGAGAAGTGACCAATCTGAGCTGGCTTGTGGTTGTATGAGATATGTACCACGACGTACCCACTCGTGATCTGGTGCGGATTCGTGACCAAAACCCCTCAGCTAGATGAGTCTATTAAAACTAATAAGGTCAGCATTAATGTCGAAGACTTAGAGAGCTATTGATTTTGGGGACATATTTACCATTACAGATGCTTATCTAGGCTTCAGAAGCTTTTTGAATATTTCAGTGGTTAAGATACCTAAAGCTCTGGAAGTATACTCCAAACACAATGCTGTATTGGTAGCAGAGTACCATTGTGAAGTGACACCACGTGTGTCGGACATCAGTCATAAGGATAGTAGGTCGATCGACATGTATTACATCATTTTTTATATTTCTCAGTACAGATCCGGCTCCTTAAGAGATTTTTGCCATGGTGTTTCTAACGTTGACCACTCGATGTGAAATGTAGCATCTTATGAGGCGTTTTGTCGAACGTGATGCTGAAACTTTTTCGTCATCTAACAAATAATAACGCCCAAACGATCATTTATTGTATGAGTAATGATGAATGGTTACCATGTATTCTGTAATAAGACGAAAACATATGAGCATTTTAATCTCACATTTTGTGAGAGGCTCAGCAAGTCTAGCGCAGAACACGCTCGCCAAACATGCTTAGATATGTCAGCTTTCTTAATAAAACATTGTCAAGCTGCTTGATTTCTTATATATGTGACATAATGTCACAAAAATATCTTTGTCAACACATGCGAAGGCTCTACAAAGTAACACAATATTCTATAACCTTTGGTCTTCGATGCGCCGAAGTGTAGAGTTATTTCGTGGTCATGAATCACACCCACTTATGTATCGTTTCGCACATATGAAAATTTGATCCCACCAATGGTTTACCGTTGACCATCACTTTATAAGACAATGATTAGTCCTTTTTTTCTTAAACTAATATCTAAACTCTAACAGTAGGACTACTTAAATAATTCGTCTACATAAACTTGTGTATCAAGGCTACTAGTTCCATTATATATTGTTCGGCAGATTTTCATAAAATCAGCAGACAAGTGTTGGGGCCTTAAACGATATTGATAATTCATTAACAGAGGAGATATATAATAGTTATATCCTTGCGGCACGCCACTATCCACATTTGATTTTCACCGGCCTTCGGTTGAAGTAGAGGATTTTTATCTTTCACTTGGTTGTATCCATTATTTTAAGTTGTAAATGCACAAGCCATATGGCAAAACAACTCACCAAATGCACGGTGAAATCTGGAAATAACTAATAAACAGACAGACCATTATCACGGGCTTTTACCCAGTCCACTCTGATAACTAGTAAGTTAGTTTGCAATGGCATTAAGCCATAACCACACAATCCTCAAAGCTGAACATGAGAAAATTGGGAAAATAGATATGCAATATTTAACGCGAAGAAAAACTCAACGATGGAGAAGGCGGGAACAATGAGTTGAATTAATTCGAGTTGATCGGATGGCATGGCTCGGCCTTCCAGGCGTGGTCTTTGTCGAATGTTACCTCATATCTTTTGCTCATAGTAAATATATTGTTCTATCTCCAGCCCGATTGTGTTCTCCATCATATATTGGTAATTGTTACGATACGATGAGTCAGTGTAGACAATGATGTGACTTCCACGTAAGATCTTATAGATCAGGCAGTTACATCATGACAAATGCACAATTCTAGGACTAGGTCTATTATTAGAGAAGTACTAATATCATAGTAGACCGTAATTTTACATGTTCCGCAGAATGTTTCTCACGAAATACGGGTTGCTCAAGGCTCAAAACGTTATCTGGTTATACATAACTCAGCAACTATAATATATGACTCCAAGTTCTGGGGCAGTGTATTCTTCGGTCTGAATCTTTTCCTTCAATCTTCGGGATTCCGAGTTGGCAACTTGTTCCGATTCATATCTTTGACAATCCGACTACTACGTTAAATAGACTGACAAAAGGATCCCATCAATTCGGTTCATTCTAATACTAATATACAAAAATTTCCGTTCTGAGCAAGTTCAACTATTGCATGCAAAACGCCCTTCAGAAGTTCCGCAATGTTGAGACATTTATTTTCACGCGTCTATGAGATTGTTTCTGACCTACACCAGTAAACACTCTTAGAGCATATGCCGCAGACAAGGATTCTCCAACTCTCTTCTGAAGTTCCTTTTCAAGTTATTTGAAAGCGCTACTCACCCCTGTAATGTTTAACTTAAATACCAGAGTAGTGTGTTCTTTGGTCTGACTATTTCATTTTGGTCTTCAGGGCTCTGAGTAAGGGCTTAGCTTGTGATGGAGGTTGATGATTTCAACAAAGTGCGCCCTGCACTTCTTGGGCGTCTTTTCCTCATTTCCTCTGAGGCTAGAAGTAGGTTTGTTTGTTCTCGTAATAGTTTATTGCTGATGGTATTCAATCAATGAATCTTGTGTATATAATAGCCTATAAACCCCTGTACTTGTTCATAATATTTGTAATCCATAAACTTCCCATCGTTACTTGCTCATGTGTAATTTTGGGCATTTTTTAAATCTGCGTTGTCATAATGTGTACACGCCTATCAGCTTACTATATTCGTTACATGACTTGAAGAACCAGAAATACTTGCTAATCCTAGAGTTTTGTATTAACGAATCCCATCTCCTGATACAGTAGCCCTGTAGTGGCATTCTCAAACAAACGATTCTCGAGGTGGGACATACGTTAACTGAGAGGAGTTACGTTCATCATTTATCACTTAGAGGTCAGAAATGGTGAACGCGGGATGACTCAATCGCTATGGCATGGCTTGTCCATGCAGTTGTGGTTACCTCAAGTGACTTGATCCTTTTTGTGTTAAATATATTATTCCATCCTCGGCCCAAGTGTGTTCTCTAGAAGTCCTAAACAGCATATTACTGACTGCCACGATGGGACGGGTGATGTGACATACATGTAAGATTTTGTAGATTATATGGTCAAGTAGTAGGAAATCTAAAAATTTGGATTCAATTTGTCATTCTGTTAGCAAAGATAAATAGACTTAATACCGACCTGGACAACAATCTTACAGCGTCATCCTTTGTTATTTGTTAGCTGTTCATTAGGCTCGATATTGTTCGTTTATTACAAAGTCCACAGAAGGCACTAGAATAGGACCTAGTGATAGTGGTTCTATACACGTTTATGATCTTACGATACACAAACCTATGTGTTTTACTAACTTATGTTACAAGAACGTCTCAATCACGTTTGCTCTTTATCCATTAGTCTTATTTCCCTATCAGCTCTGTAGCTGATGGAGTTGCGGTTAATGACGATAGGCAAAGGAGACAGCAAAAATATTACCCGGTAGCTCTAAATTCAACTTCATCACGACACATGAAAACGAAAACACAGTGTTTATCTGACAAAAAAACTTATTTGGAAACAACTACCCTGAAAACACGTAGTTAGTACCCAACGTAATTAACGTATATAATGGTTTTAATACAGTAAGTCAAAGTCACTGTAGGAAGTACTTTCCTACAAATGTAATGCTAAACTATTCCCTAGACTATCGAGCACAAATTAGCCAAAGTTAGAGCAAGCAAGCTATTTGGCTTGATAAACTTTATCTATTCCCTTTAAACAGAGGAAAGGAGAGACGCAAATAACATACCAAAAAGTAACTAGAGGATAGAAAAAATGAGTCAACAATCGAAAATTGTCATATGATAGACATAAAATTGTGACTGGTGAATAAGCAAGGCATATTCATATGAGGTCAAAAGAAACTAATGTGGTGGGCGTTTCACGTTATCGTTGATGGGTTCGTTAATCAACAACACTTTACACTCCCCTAGAAACGCAC